GGCTTGTGCCGATCCTCCCGAAAGGGCGCTGTAGGCTTGGGATAAGCGAACGCCAGCAGAGCTGTTCCCACCAGAAAAGCGGCTTTTGTCTCCCGAATGGCGTGCTTGCGGCTTGAGCAGGAGCTTCCCCTAGCAGGGCTACTGGAGTTGGAAGAGTTGCACCTCTTCGTGACCGTGATCAGGGTTACATTTACGGTGGAAGAGCTGTAGTAGCTGCCCACAGTAGTGACTTGTAAGATACGGCTTAGATGACAGGCTAAAAAAAATTCTTGGGGGCTTCGTGGTTCAGAAAAATGAAGTACGCTGGCAACAACGGAGAAAAAAGAAATCGGTGGGGGCTGAGATGAGCAAGAATTAAAACCAAAGATGTTTGGAGTATTTTGCTCAAAATACTTTGCTTTGAACAAACCGCCTTCCAGTCTGTGATCCAGAAGGGGAACAGCTGTTGAGACTAAACAGCTAAAATGTGTTCCTCGTATAATGATGTAAAACCAAACCACGTTCCTTCTTTCCGCCACTTTTCTTTCAAACAGAAGCTAAGATTTCCCATTGTATTGCTTGCTCCTACAGTGAAAACAATTAGATTTGCTAATCCCTGCTTTCACATAAACTGTAACTCTGGAAGAAAACAGTAGCTGAATGCAGTGGTTTAAGCCATTCCTAAATAATCGCCATAGCACTGTGGAAATTGAATTGAAACTTAACTAAAAAAAAGGAAATCACCTCCTTAAGCCTGCAAAATAAGACTATCTCATTTTACACCCTTGATATTTTTCCTGTTAAACTCACAAAATCATCACATGCTTGCTTTCATTTAAATTGTTGAAATGATGGCAGCCTGTTAGCTTCATCCATAGGAAGCTTTTCATTAGCAGTGTTAAAATAGAGCAGCTTTCTGGGGGGAGAAATCCCAAGTTTCTCACCTTCACAGGAGAGCTTGTAAAGATAACTCAAAACCAGGGAGCAAAAATACCTTACTTTTACGGAGCAGATACACACAGCATGCATCTATACCAATTTATGCACACAGATTGCTTCAAGTGGCTTGAGCTATGGTCTTGTCTACTCACTTTAGCAATCTCACAGCACTAGCAGGAGTATCGTCAAACCTAGCTTAATTTAAGCGAGGGAGAAAGCAGAACACCAGGTGGATTTAAGTGCTACACGCCCCGCCTCCTTGTTTTGCAATCCGGCCTCATATATATATAAACCTACATATCTTTTATATGCACACCCGTGGGTATAAAACATTCCAGAGTTGAGCATTTCCCTGCCTCAGAAGCCCCAAACTTCATGCTCAGCCCCCCGGGCTGTGGCGGGGAGGGCGCTGGGTTGCAGCAGGAAGCGGCGGTCCCGCCGGGGAGCGGAGGGGGCTG